GGTGATAGCATCAAGGCTGATGCTAAAGCTAACAGGCTAAGCTGAGGTTCTTCTTCCATGAAGTAGTTCTGTTGTCCTCGATCTATATTTTCAGTTCTACCTCCTCTCTGTCAACGCTCTCTGGTTTCATTTAAAAGAGTCGATCATCAGATATTGTCCAAGATTAACCTTCAGGGTGGATATAGCTCGCTAGCAGCCCCGCACCGAGGACCTATCCACGTCTTCATTTACCCAGAATGCTTTGTGTGGAAATAAAATGGCCCCGTCCGTGTAATATATTTTTAAACTTCTAGTTTAAAAATGATAAAAACTTAACAACCTACAGTATTTTTACAATCTTTATTTTACAGTTAAAATATACATTTATTAAATGAAGTCTAATGTTACAACTAATCATGGATCCCTTTAAAGAAACTCATCATATGGACACAATCACCCTGGTAATTAAGAAAATGGGGAAGAAGCTGGTTGGGTTTTGTTTACTTGGAGACAGGAATGCCTCATTTATAAAAGTGCATCAATTAAAGTTGCTGATAAGAGTTAAAGTAAGCTATGTGAGCTGAATAATAAACACTGCATTTTCTCTGTGTGAAAGTACCTTTTCATACAGAATCTGTTCTTTCTGAAGAACCGAGATCAAAGAAGTATTGTGCGTGGTGTCTGTGTGGAGGCCTTTAAATGTGTGTGTGTGTGTGTGTGTGGGGGGGGGGGTATTCTGGAGCTGTGCATAAAAGCAGTTTTTGAGTGACAACCTCTTTCGGGACCCTGATCACCAGGTTCTCCTTCCCTCCCAGGAGAGCAGAGCCGGTGCGTGATGTGACCGCTGTCCATCAATCAAACTGATCGCTGCATTTCCATAACAACTGCAGCGTAAGTGAATCCTGTCTGAGGCTGACAGAAGATAGCTGCCACCCAAAATCAAGTTCAGGTGCTTATGGCAAAGCAGTTCTCATACATTTACTTCTGATTAATTCGTTTAAAATACGCCGATTCTGGCAAACGTCCACATTTACATTCAAGTTTGGAAAAAGCAGGAAGTTAGTTTGAATTTTCTAAAGGTCAGAAATGATTCAGTGCCCTCCTCCACAGGTCTCTGCAGACAACTTCTGCTGTATTGTTGCATTTGATGCATCTCCACGCACAATTATAATTCAAGAATTCATTGGAAATAAAAAAAAAATTAAATGAGGAGAAACTTCAGCCGCCTCCTTCACACTCTCACACACACACACACACACACACACACACACACACACACGCACACACACACACACACACACACACACACACGGTCCCTCAGCTCTCACTCTCTTATTTAGCCTTTCCGTCCAGAGAGGCTCAACAATAACAAGGGAGGAAATGAAAGTGGTGATGTCACAAGTGATAACCCCCCCCACCCACACACACACACACACACACATAAACACACAAACACACACACACACGACCACTGTCATTTTCTGATTGAGATGACTACAGTCACAAGGGAAATTCAGTGCACTGGAGGGTAAATAGCTTCCATTGGGCTGATCGAGCCACACATACAAATACACAAAATGATACACATTTTGCACACATATGTATTCAAAGATACTGGTATCATTCAGTAGTAATAACTGTGTGTACGTTACCTGATCCACAAATTACCTTTAAGGTCACAGGTGAGTGAGTGTAAAAACAAGCGTGATGATTGACGTCTCAGACAGGTGTGAAAATAGTGAGTTTGTGTGTTTCTTGCAGCTTATTTATTCAGAAGCTGCAGCAGAGCAATGAAAGGTGTGATTGATGGATTAAATGGCATTAAGGTGTCAGCTGTTTTATTTCCTGTTCCTGTGCATGTTTCTATGTAAGCTTTATGGTCATTTGATGGCTCGCAAAGAAAATTACAAAACTAAACTATGTTTCTGCGGCTCTGTGGTCATTTTGTTATAAACTGTACAGGTCTAACTGGAAATACTGAAATATTTGCGTATAAAAAAACTTTTTTTGGGATAAATGCTTTTCTTTAATCGACACTTGAAAATAAAAGTTAACCCAGAAAACTGCAAATGTTGGATTTGCTTATTTTAGTGTCCCACTTAGGAGATATTCAAAGTCCAAAACAATTATTTCTTAGCTTCTTTGTAATTTTTCTTTATTTTGATCTTTTTAATGGTTCATTTACAGTATGTTACATATTTACTTTCACTTATTTATACCCCAATTCTACCCTTAAAGTAGCTAATTTTCCACATTATTTGCACTATGAAAGCTTTGACAATGCATTCTAAAATCAGAAATCTCAAACTCCTGTAAATTGTGGCCGTCTTGGATTTTGTTTTAGAATTCAGATTTTGTTAAAGATTGTTTCTCGGCTATACTACAACATTTTTCAGCTGCATGCACTCAAAATTGGCTAAATTATAGCCAATGGTAAAAGAAGAATAGAATTAGCAGTTAGCTTTTGTTGAGTGTTTGGGGGTAATTTTTAGATAAAGTATACAAAATTCCAGCTCAGTAAGTCTTAAAATAGCTGAATTAGAGCTACTAACTGTATTAATTAAGTTAACTATGGTGGTCATCTTGAATTTTTGATTAATATTTAGAATTACGTCAAGATTTTTTTTATTTTTTCTTCTACTAAACTAGTTGTCATTATTTTCCCAGTTATAAAGGGCTGAATTAGGGCTCTTTGCTTTAGCGGTTAGCTGTAACTGGTACTATCAATCGGCATGTTTATTTTTTTTGATCACTCTAAGCCAGTGTTTCCCAAAGTTGGGGTCGGGACCCAAAGTGGGGTCCCGAAACATCAAGGTGGGGTCCTGAAAAGATTTTCTGAATTAATTACATTTTTGCCTTAGTTGCTACAATTGAGTGAGGTTAGTGTATTTAAAATTGATAAATTTAGTATAAAAATATTGTTACTATGCCCATGTTTTGTTGACCAGATACAAATGTTTAACATACAAAAATAGTTGGGGGCACAGGTCTCTGCCACTGTTATTTTGTGGGTCAAAAGCTGAAAAGTTTGGGAACCASTGCACTTTGGTTCCCAAAGTTGGGCTTGGGACCCAATTATGGGTCATGAAGCACCTTGGATAATCTCCAGAAATCAAATTAAAGGGTAATAAAATAATTGCTAATGTAATATTTTCCCTATAATTATTACAAAAACACAAAATAAGTAAAAATAAGTATTAATATTTGTGTATAAGCTGTTTAGATTGTCAAAAAGCCTGTGTTTTTAGGGTTATTAACGAAGTTCATGTACTCAGACCAGTAATATTTGGGGTCACAAGTTTTTGCCATGGATATGTTGTGGGTCAGAAGACAAAAAGTTTGGGAACCACTGCTCTAAGCTACGATCACAAAATTTCAGCTCTACATTTCTTAAAGCAGCTGATTTTGAGCCATTTCAAATCAGTGGTGATGATCATCTTGAATATTCAAATTGAGCAGTTTTATTTATTAGTACGTGCCCCCCTAAAAAAAACACCTTGGCCACCCCGGTGCCCCCCTTGCAAAAATGTCTAGCTCCGCCCCTGTTGTGATGTTTGAGCTCTTTCTAGCTGCTCAGTTTTGATTACTGTATTTGTATAAAATGATGCCATTATGTTGTGACATTTCTCTGGAGTATTAGAGTTTCATTACTCATCTCTTCCTAAAGAAACTTTTAAGTATCTTTTCTCAATGAACCAAAAGGTTTTTGTAAATTCAATCTCGGTGCCTCATTAACTTTATTCTTTTGACCTCTTTATCATCAGAACACAAAAAATCTAATCTGTCTAATTACACTTTTAGAATAAAATAGTGTTTGCTTTATGCGGCCAAATGTCAAACTGCAAACTGAGACTTCTTTGGAAATCAATTATGAAGGTTTTGGGGGTCTTTGAAGGCACCATGGGGAAATCACCAAAATTGCATGATGTTCACAAACAACAAACACGAATATAAATGGTTTTCTACCTGTTTCAGGTCCAATGTGATAGTCACATAGTGGTAATTCATTCCATTCATGATAGAAGGACTTTGCCACCAGCGGTTGGTTCCATCGATGGCATATTTAATGGGATGGTGTTCTGCACACACACATACACAAAGACGTTTTATTGGCCATCTCCTTTTAAATGCCCATAATGATTTGCATTTTGTATTTCACAATGTTCAAAATGCTCAACTACACAATTTTCATCACATTATTTTTTTATTGTGACATTTTAGCCATTCAAGGTCCATTTATCAAAAGCTCAATCTTTTACCTCGTAAAACAATAAAAACATTTTCTTTCATTCATGCACAATTTAATTCCAGTTCTAAATAAAATGTCAATCTATTAGCATGATCTCTGAATATCCTAACAACTCTAAAAATGTCATTTAATGGATAAAGCAGATAAAACACTTTGCTTTGTTTATTGTATAGCAAAAACCACTTTGTTGCGTTTATGTATGTCAGCAGCATTTAAGTGCTCAAGTAGGAATAAAGGAATTTTCAAGAGAATTGTGAAATTTCAGCTTGAATGCCATCTACCAATTAACAGACTACTTGTGACATTTTGGTTAAAATGATAGGAACAATCATACCATAGCAACTACTGCTATTTGAATAAAAATAGCTTTTCCTTTAGCAACGCTTTTGTCTTCTTTCCTCGAAAAATTAACATTTTTAACATCGTTCTTCATCCTGACGTTTATTTCCTTCGGAGACTAAAAGAAAACTCATCACAGAACTTAAATAAATAGAACTATATTAAAAATACCAGCTTTTATATAAGATTAAATCACTTCTACTGGTGCTTACTGACCTGTAAGTCTAGATTTACAGGTGTCTCTCTGTAGTCGAGTTTCTCTTCACTGGATGTGAAACAAACTGCCCTACAGTGGATGTATGATGAAAGTTGCAACTCCATCCCTCATTCTTTCCTTTGTTTTTTCTTTATTGACCCTCTCTCTCTTCCTTGTGTTCCATCACCTCTCTTCATCCTCTCGTTCTGGCTGACTAAGGTTCACTCTAACAGATTTATTGGCTGATTTGTTGACCAGCTAATTACTAGATTGTAGTTAATGACTCACTGATTTACCGTCAAACTGACTTGTTTGGTTGTATGATTGGCTGAGTGGTTTATTGAATTGCTGATCTATCATAACATGACAGCCTGGTTGAGTGAATAATGACTGCAGGCTAATTTCACATTGTCATCTTGTCATTTTGTGACTGACTCCTCAGCTTATTCAATAATTATCACTTCAGACAAAACAATTGATTAACATCTGCCCAATCATGCTCCAACTAATAAATCTGCCATGATTAGTTTCTGTAATCTCTCAGGATATAAATCTGGTGGGGATGGGAGTCGTTCTCACCGAATGGATTTGCACTCCTCTGGTTGCAGATTCGACACTGGGGGTTTCTCACAGGCTGACCTGGTACATGTTCCACCAGCTTACAGAACATCTCTGGACCGCCTGAACCGCAGGTTGCATTCGTTGTAATCTCTGCCATTGTAGCCAGATTTAACACAGCTGGAAAAAGTCCTGACAACAGAAAAGTAACACAAAATGATGTAAGATAAATGATAAATGTCAAGCAGTATGTCAAATGCACTATGTCAAATATACAAATGTACACAGCGAGGATAAAAGAAGGCCATGAGCTTTTTGTTTTCAAATAGCTGCATTTTGGCTGTTTATGTGAAAACACACAAATGACAATATAAGATTATTTCAGTAAAACGTTGTTGTAAAAAAATGCCATTTTGACGCTCCTAAAATAGGCACTTGGATAAATGCATTGTCCGAACCCGGCAGTGCGTCGGTGTGTTTTTGTGATCTTCAGTCACTCTTTTAAAGTAGAACTTATGGAGTTCAATCAGTGACAGCTTACATTGATATTGAAAAATAGATCTGACTTTGAAAAATAAAACACTCAAAAATGAAACATTGAAAAAAGAAACACTGAAAAAAAGAAACATTGAAAAATAAAACATTGAAAAATGAAACACCGAAAA